GGTGGTCCCCTCCTATCTCCCGCCAGCTGCCGGGGGAGGGGCTGGCAGAGAGCTACAACAGCACCCTCCCCGCCCCAGCCAAACTCATTTGTCCTCCCACCCCAGTAAAGGACCCCAAAGCCACCAGCCCACAAGCCCCAGGCTGCCACCAAGGGCCATCATGATGCAATGGTCGTGCTATCACTGCAGCTCAGCCACTCTTCTCTGAAGCCTGTGGCAGGGGATCAAAGCCCTGCCCCAGGGACGATGGCTCTGTGGGGAGAGAAAGCACCTGGCAGAGCACAGAGAGGGCCTGCAAGGAAGCAGGTTGCACCTCAGCATTGCTGTAGCTGCAGCAAAATGGTATTTAGGAATGAGTGTTCACATTGACTTTTCCCATTACAGCAGTTTAACCCAATTACATTTGTTCCTCGAGGCACATCCCCAAGGTTTACATCCCGTGCACAGCACTTAGTCATGTACCTACTACCGGTGTCATGGAGGAAAGCAAGCAGAAGGAGCCCTCTCCCCTTCACATACATCCTTCGCCGTGATGCAACTGTATTTTGGGACCAGCATTTTCAAGCCAGCACCTTTGCCAGAGCCGGGTTCAAGGCACCTTTGCGGTGCCAGCACTCAGCATCGCACCGGGAGATGTCAGCTGGCTTATGCCCTCTCTTTGGGTGTGTGAAAGGATGCTCTGCTCTTCTGACTTCTGGTCCAAAGTGGAGTCCTGTGTGTTTAAAAAAAAAAAACAAACATCCCAAAACTCTAATTAGTTTCACGCCTTCTTTGTCTACAGGAATTTAGACACTCAGAAAGGTGGAAGTAAGAGCAGCCCGGGGCGGCTGGGCGAGGCAGGTGTGGGGTGTTGTGTAACCATGCTGTTCACACAGGTCCCCCTCCAGACTGCACAGCCTGGGGTCTCGGCCAGAGGAGTGACCCCAGCGCCGTTATGTCTCATCAGCTGCAGGCGGAGCTCAGCCACAGCCTCTACCCCAGTTACTGCTGTTGTGGTACCCTCAGTGCCAGCACGGCAAAGCCCCTTCCCACCAGGCACAGCTTACCAACCTCACGTCCCCATCACACGTCTGCTTCATCATGATGGGTTTGCAGATTGCCTACAGGACAGATAATGACTCCAAGTTGCTGACTGCCTCCCACCACTGCAGCGACTGGTCTAACTGATGAAAGTTGGTGAGGATAACTCCATGGGAGACATGGGCTGACACGTCACTTAGCTGAGGACACAGAGTTTGCTGATGGTTTTCCCCTGATCTGAGGAAGGTGATTTGTTTGCACAGCCTCATCCAGCCATGTTCATCCGTGCCAAATCGTGAAATCTTCACCCGTTGCTCAGTCTGGCAGGGTTGATATTTGTATAAAGTATCATGCTGGAGGGTCCCTGCTTAGGCCTGCAAATCCCAAAGCCTGAGTTCTACATGCAGCAAAAAGAAATCTAAATACCCTAAATACAAGCTGAGACAGGGTAGGTGAGCAGGAGGAGGCCATCAGTCAATACTGCCAAGGTCACAAGCGGTGGTCTCAATGGCCACCACTTTCTGCAGCAGGTTTGGAGGTAGCCCTCAGCATTTCCTTGCACGCTCACCCAGCTGTGCTGAGGAGAAAGATGCTCCACATCTCCCCAGGACCGATTCAAGCTGTAAGGACTAGACCAAAACTTCAACTGTTTGAACGAAAAATTTGCCCAAATAGTTTGCCTCCCTGTTTAGAGGTGATTGCCCTCCACTCACTGCAGGGTTTATAACTCGAGGGAGGACTCTGCAAAAACTGAGCTGCAGGGCTCTGCCTGTTGAGCCAAAGCACTTTAACAGACTGTTCCACTGAGACATCTAGAGCAGAACAAAACAAAAATCTTTATTAGCTTGATTCTAGCTGGATATTACATTTGCCGATGCAGCCCATTAATTTGTGGGGTTGAGAGCACCATCATTAGCAACCTGCTTACCTGATGACCAGCCTCGCCGGAGCAGCTGTTGAAAAGCAAAGTCCTCACATGCTTAGCATCCCCACTGTCTTTAATTTTTAAAAACCATGTTTCTCGCCTATTCAAGGTCCTTACCCACCATTTACAATTCTAAGGACAAAGGCCGCAGGTAATGTATGACCACATATGGGGTTATAATAGTGTAACTGGATGTGATGTTTCTTTGCTGTTCATGAAGCTGGGCACAGTACCTCCACAAGTGCCAGGTAGAGGAACCAGTGTTAAAAGACTTTCAAGAGCTGGAAAAGTCAAGCTTTCCAATCAGCTCCACTTGCTGGTCATCGGCGGTCAGTAATACACAAGAGCACCACTGATTTTGGTGCCTTCCTCAGGATCTATGATCACATTGTGGAGCTGGAGTAGTGAGACCCGGCACTGCATTCATTCGTGTGCTCAAGAAGGTCATCACTCTTCCTTTCTGGTAGCACCACACTCTTGTTTCCTGCAGCAGAAGGTGGCAATGGCACCAGCAGAAGACTTTTGGCCCACCATTGACTTGCCTCAAGCAGGTTTTGGTCTTGGCTCCTGTACTCTGATCACAGAGAATGTGGCTGACCTCTTGCCACACATGGAAAATTACAGGCTCTAGCAGCCTGTCAATCACCATGGACGAATAGTTCAGTGAACTTTCCTCAGGGTTACATTCCTCAGCATTTACTCATCCGAAAATGCGTATGCGAGGAAGGCAGCCCCGGGTCCCTTGTTTCTGGGCAGGCTCATGCTGTTTATGTTGAGCAGGGCTCTTGCTCGGCAGCATTTCTGATGCATCTCACTCGTTGCTACCGCACACACCAAGTGGTCTGAGCTACCCTTTCCCTCTTGCTCCAGAAAACAAGCTTGCCATCTTAGCAAAGCAGCCAGGAGCCCCCCTGCACTTCTGAATGTTTGCAAAAAAAGCCAGCCTCAAACCATGAAAGTCAATAACTGAGGAGACAAAGGCAGGACTGCAAATCATTTTTATTAACCAGGTTAGTGGCGGACAGCTTGGTTATCACCCAAACCTTACTCATCTGCAGGGAGGTCCTGGGTCCTAGGTACCCCCCATCCCTGCTCTACCTGGTCCCAGTGACCTTTTCTCCCCCAGCAGAGAAATTTTTTCCCCTGGAAGATGTAGATTATCTTCAACAAAGTGGACACCTCCTACCACCAGACTTTCTGGTGTATGCTGCCATCCCTACCCCAAGAAATCACCTAGTCAAGATTGGCATAAAAGGATTGAGAAAGGATCCTGCCTCTTGTCTTTGGGATAGTACAACATTTTGGCCCTGTTCTGCTCCAGAGGCCCATGACATCTGCACTCTTCCAGCAGGGCAGAGAAAACAGGGAGACTTATCATTGCTCGTTTTTCTGGTGGCATCTGCCAGACACTTCCCTGCAGAGCCTGAGAAGGTTCGGTATTTGTCAGGGTTCAATTGCAATTATGCCAAAAAAGGGACTGGGAGAAGCAGGCTCCTTCCATACCGTGTCCTGTTGCTCTGCCAGGGCAAATTTCATTGTGGAGTCTAGCAGTGACCCCATGGTGATAGGACAAGGTGCGAAGGACTCTTTACCTGGTCAGACCCTGTGCACAAACAGGCAGCAGTAGGAAAGATCCCAAATACATTCAAGTAAGTGAAAGATGAGATAGGCATATGCCTACGTATGAAGGCAGTAATTGACCCTAGGAATTGTAACCAGGGGAAAAAAAGAGGTAAAATGGAAATTAGAAAGATAGAGGCAAGTGCCCGCAGCACCCAGGGGACCATGAAAACACAGAAAAGTGGTTTTACATTGCACTTGCATTCAAAGGGATAACCATAGGTGGATAAATTGATGCAGGTCTGATATTAAATGACATAGAGGCCTGTATGGGGATATAGGAGACAAAAACAGATTGGCATCCATTATCGTTTTGGC